GAATACAGCGGGTGGGGTAGGACTTTCCAATTAAGTGTTTCCAAATAGGTTTTGACCGGTTTTGCAACATGTAGCCGAGCATTGTCATGTAGGAGAATAATTTTGTCGTGTCTGGAGTAGTAATGGGCGCGTTTTTCCTTGAGTGCTCGGCTCAATCTCATTAATTGTGTTCGGTAGAGAGTTCCAGTAATGGTTTCGCTCGGTTTGAGCAACTCATAATACACGACACCAAGCTGATCCCACCAAATACACAGCATGAGTTTTTTTCCATGAATATTCGGTCTCTCGGCTTCAGTTCATATGGAACCCAATTTTCTTGTTTTTTAATCATTCCCAACGATTTTAAACGATGTGAAATTGCTTGTTGAATCACTTCTAATGTAAGTGCAAGTTCTTCTTGCGTTTGACATGAATCTTCCTCCAATAATGCTTCCAATTCCGTGTCTTCGTACACTTTCGGCCTTGCACTACGTTCTTTGTCTTCCATGTCAAACTCACCGTTTTTAAACTTTTGAAACCACTCACAACAACTTCTCTCACTTAAAGCAGCCTCACCATATGCTTCTACAAGCAATCGATGCGCCTCAGCTGCAGATTTCTTCAAATTAAAGAAATAAATCAAAAGTTCCCGCAAATGACGCTTATTCGGCACAAAACTTGACATTTTCGCACGAAAAAAATTATGTGATGCTGATACGGAGTCACTAATACTTCAAGGTTATGTTGTTACCAGATGTCCAAACTTACGATATTACGTTTTACATCTGACAATTTCAACATAACCTTCTGGTGGGGCTATCTTTTGTCAAACGGCGGAAACTTATTTGTACTCCTAATACTATAGTTTTTTTATGTATATTATATCAGTATTAAATGATCGGTGTAAATTAAGCAAATGGAAAAATAACTTAGATAACTAATATAACTTACCATACCAAGAACATTTCCCTTCTCATCACAAATTTCACGTTTCCACAAAATATCATTACTTAAAAAGTAATGATGGCATACAGCTTGTTTTGAGTTGATAGTTATATCGTTTCTCCTTAAAACTGCTTGCCATGCTTTTCTCACATTTTCGTCCTTTGGCACATAAAAAAATGAACTGTTTCATGATTAGAAGTGTAACCTGATGTACAACCAAGTGTAATACAGCGCGGCATCATTTAATTAAATTAAGATTACTTTTATTAGATACTTATTTGATTTCAATTTTTATTTTGTTATTCTTCTCGCGAAGCTTTAACACACCTCTAACCTCAAGTCACTGAAATTACAGACGTAAACACATGGTGACTGTTGCCAGCGCCACATAGCGGCTTGGCTTCATTACGTAGACATACCGTAACAAAGGATATAATAGCAAGTGTCAAGGGGCTTGCTTGCAACCTTACAGTCTTACTCTTACAGCTAATGTAGACAAGCCTTAAGGTTGAAAATGGCTGAAAATGGCGGAAAATGGCTGAAAATGGCGGAAATCAACGGAATAGAAATTAGCGTAATATAAATATTAAATTTTTATTATTCATATTAGGCGTTGTTGGTGATTCTAGCTGTTGGTCAGCTGGTTAATTTGCATATAAAGGCTCGTCTATTTTAGCTGTAAGAGTAAGGCTGTAAGGCTGTAACGTAAGCTGTCAGCGAATGAAAATATTTCATTTCGTGTCTTGCAACCTTACAGACTTACTCTTACAACTAATGTACACGAGCCTTTACTTTTGGAAAAATCTCCTAGGCACTCTGCGAGGTTCGAACCCGGGACCTCAAGGCTCTTGAGTCAAACGTCTTACACCACTGCTCTACTACTACTCTTTGGTAGAAACTGGTTTCACGACGTACACGTAGACCACAGAGGTGTGTATGTATGTGTGTGTGTGTGTGTGTGTGCGCGCGCGCGCGCGCGCGTGTGTGTGTGTGTGTGTATGTGTGTGTGGTTAGTGCAAAGTCTCTGGAAAAATTCTGTAAGGCCCTGGCCGGATTCGAACCTGGTCGACCTGGTCGACAAGCGTCTTATGCACTGCGCTACTGCTATTGGGTGAGTGCAAAAGTTCGTGCGGAGTTTCAATAGATGGAGTTATAAGCGTCGTAAAGTGTTGTCATTAATACTTCCATCTACATATTATATAACGTTGGAAAGGTGACGTCTTCAGCTGTTATTAAAAAAAAATCATTTGTTTTCATACAAACTGCTTCGAGAAATATCACTTTAAAAATGAGTATCGATAAGGTGCATTTACGGCATGTTATGCTTTACGAGTTTCGGAAGGGAATAAACGTTGCCGCAGCCGTAAAAAACATTCAGGATGTTTATCAGGATGAAGCACCAGCTAAACGAACTGTGGAAAAATGGTTTACTAAATTTCGGCGCGGAGAATTTAACCTTGAAGACGAGCCACGCTCTGGTCGACCTTCTGACATTGATGACGATGTTTTGCGTACTTTAGTGCTCAATAATCCGCGAATTTCAACAGAAGAAGTTGCTACAGCACTAAACGTTGACCGATCAACCGCTTTTCGGCGTTTAAAAAAGATGGGATTCGATTTGAAGCTCGATATATGGGTGCCCCATTTGCTGACCGAGAAGAACAAAATCAAGCGAATTTCTGCAGCCGTTTCTTTACTCGGGCGGTTCAATAACGAGTCGTTTTTGGATCGACTAGTGACGGGCGATGAGAAATGGGTCCTCTACAACAATGTTCAGCGCAAACGGACATGGAAACAATCAGGTGAGCATGGTGACGCAATGCCAAAGCCCAGTTTGCACCCGATGAAGGTGATGCTCTCTGTTTGATGGGATTGCCAGGGCATAATCTATTTCGAGCTTCTCCCCGCTGGCGAAACGATTGATTCGGACAAGTACTGTCGCCAATTAACCAATCTGAATCGAGAAATAAAAGAGAAACGTCCGATTTTGTCAAATCGTAAGGGAGTCGTCTTTCATCACGACAACACCAGACCACACGTTTCGAAAAAGACGCTGCGCAAACTGAAGAGCCTGAAATGGGATGTCTTAACGCATCCACCGTATTCTTCTGATATCGCACCATCTGACTATCACTTGTTCCGGTCATTGCAAAATTATTTGAATGGAAAAAACTTTGACTCTTTGGAGGCCTTAAAAAACGGCGTCTCTTCGTTCTTCGAATCTAAACCGCGCAGTTTTTATGATCGAGGCATCCGTATGCTGCCAGAACGTTGGGAAAAGATTATAGAAAACGATGGAGAATATATCATTGATTGAATAAAGATTTTTGTTTGCCTAATCACTGTGTGACTTTTACTCACAAACTCCGCACGAACTTTTACACTCACCCAATATATTCTGATGGAAACTAGCTATATTGTATTGTATACATACGAAGAGTATCGATGTCATGCGTGAAAAATTTGGCAAATTCTAGAATCTACGGGACTCGGGCCCCCATCATGAGACCCCGGCTCTCAACTCTCGTGAGCATATGCGAGCATGTTCGAGCAGGTAGGGATCATTTCGAAGACAAAAACTACCCAGCGATTGTTGGAAGACGATACCTCTGGTCTGTGTCTACCCGAATATTTTTACCTATGCGGGTCCCCACCCCTCGCTTCGAACTCGAAAAGTTTACAACGGGATTTGTTACCTCGAGCTGGAAATCATAAAGAGAAGAGGTGAAGAGAAAGGAATGCACAATATTTTTCATAGAATTAATGCACATTTTATTTTTCATGATTAAGATGAGACATTTATTAAATAAAATTGCTCATACGATTTTATTTAAATAAATCGAAGTAATTTCTTGAAATATAATGTGGAAATAAGTATCTAAAAACGTTAAATCTTTTAATTGCCGACGTATGTTTTGCTCGATTTCCTGATAGTTTGCGAAGAGCGTCTGTTTCATGATGTCCTCGTTTAAGTTTTTCTTGGGAAGCCTGAGTTCTATCTCCGTTACGGGAAACTGGGCGCAATCGTTTACAAGTTTTGCAAACGTTTGCAGTTGTTCACATCGAGCGTCAATACATTTTGTTATAAGTTCTAGCCCGTCAAAAGATGTTGCCTGCATCACGATGTTTACCATTGTTACGTCCTGCGGACTCCGCGTACCCTAAATTTGTTATCCAGTAAGACAAATTAAATTTTATATTATATGACCAAATGTTCATGTTCCGCGACCCTCCGAGCACAGTGACGTCATACACAGATCTCTCTTTTTTTCTCTCTGTTTTAATCACCGGAGTTTCACTATTTCTGTCAGAAAGATCCGCTGAGTTATTTTAGCCATATATCTCCTCTCCAAATAACTTTGAATAACTTCCTGTTCGGAGCAACAATTTTCTTTGAAGACGGATCGACCAGACAATCTTTTATGCTGTTATATGATATTACTAGCCTTTGATCTTCGAAAACTCATGCGTTTTCCACGTTATTCATAAATTTTTATTGCGCGCAATCTCTGACTAAACCTAGCGAAACCTTGAAGTCTTTTACTGCCATAGATATCCTTTACCATATTTTTCTCAGGCCTCCCTAAAACCCCACTTCCGAAAAGTTTTGCAACAAAATCCTATACCCATATTTGGACATAAACTTTAGAGCCCTGATGCAACTTCCAAAACCCCACCCTCTCGACCTAGGTGACGTTTTGAATAAAATGAAAAGGTTATATCACTTCTACTTCTCCTCTCGACCGACCTACAGCCAGGACAGAGTCTTCCCTTCAGCACCCTTCAGGGTCTTTTAATAACCAAGCCTACTAGTGGCTTGTACTACTTAGGTACTACTTAGACAGATCAGAGTTCTCCAGTTCTTAATTATTCCGTGCCACGACCTAGTGCATTTTTGGACCATGTTTGAGCAGTCCAACGGAGATCAGCTTCCTATTCTTGGCGCAAAACTTGGGTCATCCATCCTCACCGACACGCAGCAATTACATTTTTTATTTTCGACAACCAGTATAGATCCAGCAGTAAGTTATTTATATTTTCTTTTGCCAGAGTGACCCCTTTCTTTTTATTTTTTCTTCTTTTCTTCTCTCTTTTCTTTTCCTTTCCTTTTGCTTCCCCTTTTCTGGCCCCCTTGGCATTCCTCCTTAATGGTGAAATCCGGTTTCAGTGGCCCAATCCATTGAATCTCATACTGACGTATTTACCACGGAAATTTGCGCACACCACGAAGATTTTAAGATAGACTTTGTGACACAAGACTGTCCGAATTACGTCTGTCATAACCAACCCGACGTTGTAAGATCTGTACGTTCTCCTCTTCTGTTCCTTCCCGATTTACCCCCTGGAACTTCTCCTATTTCTTATTCCCCGACATCCTTGAGTCCTACCGATGACCAATCTCCTATAGGCTCTCCTCTACCTTGGAGCCCGTCTCCGACGACTTCCCCTCTGTCCTCACCTCTATAAGGTGGTACATGTGGTTCTCACGCAGCTTTGCTCCGTGGCCTCATTCCTATTCGTTCTCTCTCTCCTTCGGAAGTATCAACAGCGCGTTCTCCCCCCTCACCTCGTGCATCTCCGTCACTGGATCTTCCCAGCTCGGAATATTATTCAGAATAACCAAGAACCGTTGTTCTGAATATATGTATACGTACACATTTATAAATCTTATAAATTCTCTTTCATTATGAACTACCGCTTAATCATCAATAAAACAAGTTATTTGTAATTGTAAGCCAATCACGTTTTCCAACTAATTATTCTCAACAAAAAATTTTCCCTTCTCTTAACTGTCGCTTACGGTCCTATCCCAGGTAAAAGAATTCAGTTCCTTGACCTAAATAAAGGACCACCGACGTACGTCCGCGCCAGATAAAAGGGTCATTCCGATCCTTGATCTGCACCGCAGACTTGCGAGTACGTCGGAGCTTGTGAAAGCAAGCGTCAAGTTGCATTCTTTCTACAGGACGTAACACCGTGCAAACTTTTCGTTTCTTCGTCGGCGGCTGCTGTCCCTGGGACGAATCGGTAGGCATCCTCTTTGATGCGGTGTTCACCTCGGCCGTTTTCGTATTTTCAGTCACCATGATCGCCCTTGCCCCATACGCCGTGATAAAGGTGATGGTCACATCGTTGATATGGACGGGCTCTGGCACGGCTCTGGTTACCGAGTGCAAGTAATCGCCTATGTATTTCATGTACTCCTTAAACTTTTCCCATGTGGCGAAGTTGAACTGGATCCCTGTAGAGGTATTGCCGGATAGTTTTATTGTAGGCTCAAACGTTGTCCCGTCGTTTGATGCCCGCAATCCGATTTGCATCCTCTTGGTATGCGAAGTGTTGAGGGGATAAGTAGTGGAGAGAAGCATATAGCTCTCATAGCGAGCCTTCCCAGAATCACCATACGCGATCTTCTTAAATTCTGCATTTGCATTAGTATTCGCCATTATGTTTCTCACAAGAACTTATTATCCCACAGGTGAAAACACGAGAACTAATATATTTCGTCGCACGAAACAAGTATTAAGACTGAAGAAGCTCAAATGGTTTGGGCCCAGCCCAATGGGCTTCTTATAGGAAAAAGAAAAGTGGAGGGGTAGTTCTGTGAGCATACAACAAATAAATTTATTTCTTAATATTTGTTAAATAATTCAGCCTAGAATATTCTAGAATTTCTCAGAACGGAGCGTACGTGTTCCTACAGGCTTCATGATGTCGTGGGAGCAGGCGTTATATTTGTCGAAGCAGTGGATGGGAAAATACATTTTATGGTCTTTTGTGAAAGTTTCCAATCGGACTCTATTGTAGTCAATACCGATTATATCGTCCATCCTTACATCTAAATTTATGTTTAGATAAACACATTTCTACAAATCGTTTGTATAGGCCGCAAAGGAATGACGCACATTTTTTCACATCTGAGAATTTATAAAACGAGAAGAAAGAAGGTTTATTCTTTTGTGGCCGCGATAAGGTTTATTCTTTTGTGACTAAACGGAATGCGCGAACCCTACAGATTCCGACGATTTTATTTTATGTTGTCGCGGGAATAGGCATTATATTTGCCGAATCAGCGGATGAGAAAATGCCCTTTACATCTCTTTTGTGAACCGGAGTTCTATCCTAGTCAAAACTGCTTATATTTCCTTCCACGCATCTAAATTTAGATAAACAGACAATTCTACAAAACGTTTTTCGTGTAGGGCCTAAGGGAACCGCACGGAACTCGCATTTTTCACGTCTGAGAATGCGAGCTATAGATATGAGAAGAAAAAGGATTATTCTTTTATAGCAGGAATAATGTGATCCTTTAATAGATACTAAATTCTGCAATAAAACTAGACAAGTATATTGCCGAAAAGCGTTGGTATAGTTAGTCCTGCCTTATTTACACAGGCATTCGTGGAGGTTTCCCAAAATTTTGGAAGATCCATGTTATATAAGAGTGTTCGAAGCTGCTGAGACGTATTTTACTATTTCTATGGCTTCGAGCAACATTCCTATGCCATGATATTCGTAAAAGTATAAGATGTCGCAGCTTTTCAAAATTGTACCTGACTGTATAACCGCAGCGTCGATAGCAAATCTAATAATCAAACGTAGGAAATATCTGTGCGAACTCGCGAGTGATAATGATGAGAAGACATATGAAGTGTTTTATAAATTCGCGGCCATGTGCAGTAGTGGCCTACTGGCTATGTTATTCGCTTGCGGGCAATTTAAAAATAATCCTCGCTTGCATGGGATTGCAGCCGAGATTGTGGAAGCGAGAAGATTACTCGGAGAGAATGAAGAAGATATCGGTGACCGTGTCCAGAACCTGCTCCTTTCCGCATTGTAAGTAATTTCCTTTCGCTGTGATGTGACATAAAAGAATAAGCACAATAAATGCTGGTGTTCACGAATACGTTCTTGTGTTCTTCATTTTCTCAGTTCTCACCAATACTGTACGAAGCGGAAATCCAAAGAGCCGCTCTCGCTCGACTATAAGGCTTCCTCGTCAACGAAATCTGCCTGTGAGTATAAGGAAAAATAAGTATAAGATTATTCTCTCGTAGAGCCTCATGTTTAATATCGAGTTAAATTTTGGCAAGTCATAATAAAATAGCGAGAATTGACAAAGAGATCGCCTGCAATGTAAATGAAAACAGCATTGATATTAGTCATGACGACGCTGCTCACGTCACGGGTAACATCATCGAGTACGATGACAATGGAATCGATGAAACGACGCAAGACGCAAGTGAAGCTGATGAAACCTAGGATTTCCGAATCTCGCAGGCTGCATTAGTCGAAGGTAAGAAAAGGTAAGAGAAAATATCTTATACTCTTAGTTGTATTTTTATTCTAATTGTGTGTAAAATTTATACCTGTATAACATTTTCAATTCATATTTACAGTACAACAGGGTAGTGGATACGAACAGTCGAAAGAACATCGAAGGGACAAAAGCGAAGACCAAAGAGTGCGCGAAGCGACAGCAAAAGTCGACACGGTCAACAATCGTGAGTCCTTATATAAATGTATTGAAATACTCGGGGAAATGTCGCGTAATTATAGGAAATTTAATATTCTCGGAAGGGAGTCGAATATTCGAATTCTTCTACCTCCAGATGGAGCCAACATTACTAAATATTTAGAAAATGCTTTTCGGGAAATCCACGACTACGCGGTAAATTCGGATGGTGCGAACAACTACGTGGAGTTGATGCTTGCTTCTTCGGACTTAACGCGGGGACTGGCGGATATATCGCTTCATTCCGCTCGGGATTTAACCTACAACGAGATTTGGAATCTCGTGAATTCGTTAGCGCAGAGTGCCGGAGGTCATGATATTTTAGAACATTTCAAAATTAATATTTTCAATGTCGCGGCACCTTCTGATCATGAAAAGAAATAATATAAACTAACTCACGAAGATATAGCGAAACGCTCGATCCTTACTATAAACAACTTTAACAATTTGTGCTTTCCCCGTTCACTCGTCGCTGCGATAGTGTACAACGAACGCGGCAATGTGCGCACAGGAGAAATGCATGATAAATGGAATTCCGTGAGGAAGCAATATTCTATATTACAACGAGACCTAGCGGTCCAATTGACACGGAAAGCCGGTGTCTGTATACCTGAAGAAGGATATAGTATTCCCGAGATTGAGCATTTCCAACATTATTTTGTCAGCAACGATATCGTGATCGTCGTTTATTACTTTAGTTCCTTCGTACGTGGTGAGCCCCCCATGTACGATGGTAGCAGCGTACTCACCTCCCACGGGCGCGAAGCTAAAATGACTCTGAATATTATGTACTACGAAAAATCCCGGCATTACAATCCAATATTAAATTTAAAAGCTGCATCGGGCCGCCAAGGTTATTGTGTACGTTGTACTAGCGGATATAAGCTGGAAAGAGGACATCAGTGCTCAAACGCATGTCCACGGTGTCACGGCGTTCCAGCGTGCGAGGTATCGGGCGTAGAACTAATACGATGTGCTGCGTGTCAACGTGAATTTTACGGGTCGGTGTATTTCAAGCGTCATTGCGCGCAAAAATCGCTTCAAGGCACTTCATCTTTGAGCATCTGTAATATCCTGAGAGTTTGCAGCGACTGTGGCCGTTTGCGAAACTTGAGGAACAATCACAATTGCAATGAGATCTTTTGTCGTGTTTGCAAGGCGTTGCAACCAATGAATCATCTATGTTATATGAAACTACTTCGATGCGACACTGGTTCATCCGACACGATGAATCCGTAGCGAGTAGGAAACGAAAACGTAGTTGATGACATTGGCGAAGCGACAGAAACAAGTAAGCGCGTAAAAAGTCACATCGCGTTTGTGTTCTATGATTTTGAGACACGTCAAGACGATATGATCGAAGGCATAAAAAACGTTAAAACTCACGATGTGACGCTCTGTGTTACACAGCAGATATGTGAAAGCTGCATGAATGCAGACAATATGGCGTTGCGATGTCGTTGGTGCGGGATACGCGAATTTATATTTCGAGACAATCTGGTGAAACAATTCGTCGATTTTGTCACGAAACCGAGGAAGAGTTTCAAACAGATCATCTGCATCGCACACAATGCAAGCGCATTCGATGCGCAATTTATCCTATGGTACTTGGTCGAGAGCGGTAATCGGGTGGAATCTAAGCTTATTTTAAATAGTACGAAGATTATATTGTTAACTGTTGGGCAAACAAAATTTATCGACAGTGTTAATTATATGCCTATGCGTTTGTCAGCATTACCAAAAGCCTTCAGGTTAAAGGATACTGCAAGCAAAGGCCTATTTCCGCATTTATTTAACACTGTCGAAAATCAACATTACATCGGACCGATACCAGATGCAAGATACTATTCTCCCGAAACGATGAGACCGCCTGAGCGTGAGCGGTTTTAGAATGGTACGAGGATATGGTGCGCAAAAACATAGAATTTGATTTCCAACGGGAAATTGTGAGCTATTGCCGGAACGATGTCGATATTCTTCGACGGGCTTGTCTTGCGTTCTGTAAGATTTTCCTGGATCGTGGAAAAGTATGTCCGTTTGAAGAATGCACAACCATCACCTCTACGTGCATGAGAGTTTTTCGTAAAAACTTTCTGTGTGAAAAGGAGATAGATATTATTCCTTCGGGTATTCTATCGGCGTGTCAACAAACAATCCTGCAAAGCGTTGAAATGGTTGTTGTGGATGGAGCGCGAGCTCGGTCATATTATAACACATGCAGGTAGATCTCGCGAACATCGCATACCGGAAGGGCTGCTCGTCGATGGGTATTACGAGACAACGAATCCTGCGCAAAGACACGTGTTGCAATTTCACGGGTGTTTTTGGCATGGATGTCCCGCGTGTTTCAGGGTGAATCGTGATACCCCGCTCTCGACCACCGTGAAGGGGGATACTATTGAGTCGTAATACGAGCATACACGCGTGATAACACCTCATCTACAGAAGCTTGGTTACATCGTAACGGAGAAGTGGGATTGCGTTTTCGATCGGGAGTTGCAGGACAATCGACCGATGCGCGATTTCCTTGCAAATCACTCGATGTTAGAAACTGAGCCTCTCGATCCTCGCGAAGCGTTCTTCGGTGGTCGTACAGGGAACATCGTCACCCGGTGCGATGTTACGGATACGGAGAAGATACGTTACGTAGACGTATGCTTCTTGTACCCGTTTGTGCTAAAGACGCGCTCTTTTCTCCTCGGTCACCCGACGTGTACGTAGGCGAAGAATGTTCCGCCTTGATTAGTATAGCTTCCGATATTGACTTTAGCGGAGTGGAGCGGATCGTGCGGTGCAAGGTGCTCGCTCCGCGTGATCTCTTTCACCCTGTACTCCCATTTCGCGTTCGCGGAAAATTATTGTTCGCCCTATGCCGTAGTTGCTGCGAGACATTTTTTCAATTTCCGTGCACACATGATAATCCGGCCGATCGAGAATTCGAAGGTACCTGGGTATCCTGTGAATTACGGAAAGCTATAAAGAAGGGCTATAATGTCAGGTCCGTGAGCGAGATATGGAAATATAAGATTTCGCAATACGACCCAAGTACTCGGTTGGGAGGTATGTTCGCGGGATATATCAACTGTTTTTTGCAACTTAAGTAGGAGACTAATGGATGGCCTGCTGAATGCATCGACGATGAAAAGGCTAAAAGCGATACTTGCGGGAATACGAAGAACAGAGAATATTGTTCTCGATAGAAACAACATCGCGGTAAATTCGGGGTTGCGTTCGGTTGCAAAGCTTTGCCTCAATTCATTCTGGGGTAAATTCGTCAGCCATCTAATCTGCCGAATACCGAGGTCGTTAAGACACGCGAG